ACATCAAGCATCATAAAAACTACACATTTTTATCGAGTCTCCCGATATACAAAAAAGTTGACGATTTGAATGACATGCTGTGGACTCTGTTTGACACATCACCTTTAATGTCCGTTGAACATTTAACATTTACGATGACAACATTGTGTTATGACTTAAATAATTTTTCTTCTGATGCAAATTGCAAATTTTGGCATAGAAAAGAGATAACAGAACAGATGCAATATGCAAAAATCTATGCTTTTAAAGTTCTGAGTTATTTGGCAAAAAAAAATGAAAAAAAATTACCAGAACTGAATTACATTATAATTAGGGACTATCAGTTTAATCACGGAAAGATAAAGGGATCTATTCTATTAAGGTAATACTAATTGAATAGAACCAAATTGAATAAATTATAAATAATAAACAATAAACATATTAAATTATAATATTCTAAAAAAATATTTATTTTAATGTTAGTATGATTATTAGAAAACAACTAAAACATACCACTTACATTTTACTACCAAATTTAACTTTATTACTGATTTATCCTTAAATTTATTATTAACTAAATATAATTAATGTTTATTTATGTCATCGTAATAATTTGTATTTACTATAACGACAAAACACAAATTTATTAAGTTGCATAATTATAACAAAAATTTTGGGTATATTTTTAATATTTAAAAACAACTTTTAGAGAAGAAGATGTTGTTTATAATGAGACATTAGATCATGTTGTCCGCAAAATGGAAATAGCAAACTTAATAGCACATGAAACGATATCTTATTGGTATGATGATGTGTTTCTATGGGCAAAAGACGGATTTATTGCATTTCTTGCAGCACATACTTTGCATCAGGTTTTTTTATACTCTTACTAGTATACTACATTTTCAGACTTATTAATATTAACGGCTGCTATCAAATGTTGATAGCAGTTGTTAGCAGCGCTAAATACATGTTGCCAAAATTCAAATATATTTCTCTACTACCTATACATATTTACTCGATCATGTCACTTTACAGACTTACTTGTATCACATGAATTTATTTGTCGTTCAAACACTACAGGAGTCTTTACGACTCGATGATTTTCATTATCCATCACACTTCGTATATGACTCTATGGTTCATCCATATAGATCATCTCATCATTACATGAAATGTAAGTGTAAATAAATAAGTGTAACTACAATATTATTTTTAATTAAAAGAAATATAATTTAAAAATATAATATAATTTAAAAATATTAATTATTATACGTAAATTTTAAATTCGTAAGTAATAGAATTTAAGGAAACTTAACCACTTACAATTTGAATTGTCACAGCATCTGTTTTATGGCGCACGTTATATAATATAATATCTGATGATGTGTTTTGGACAGCTATCAACAGATATGTAAACGCACTGTGAGTAATATCTTTTTATATGTTCTAATGGTGACAATAATGATGTAAAAATGTGAACAGTAAAATATAGATGACATGCTTCAAATTCCACTATTCAAAAACATAGAAGTTAATCGTTTTAAAGTTATTAGCTACTTTTAGTTACCTTTTACGGAAAGAATTTTAATCAACACATTGTGGAATTATTATTAACAGTAAATAATGTAATTGATAAAAAAAATTTTTTAAATTATTTTTTCAGAGAAACTCAAACAAACGCGACAGATACTAATAATTTATCTGGCGTATCATTTTGGACCGTTCTGGAAAGTGCTCTAAATGAAACGAATAACACACCTGACTTTAATATGAAAGATTTGGTTGATAATTGGTCACTTGAAGGATATTATCCTACACTGTACGTGACACAAAATAATTCTAAGACATTAATCATATATAGTAATTATGAATTTGCAATAATTCTTGGCAAAAAGCAATATCAAGTGTATGTGACATATACATCAAAATCAGTCTTAAACTTTGAGTCATTACATTACTATCGGCTATCTCCATTACAACCGTACCCTTATTTACTTGAAATTGACAGTAATGAGTGGATTATAGTCAATTTACAACAAATTGGTAAATATTAAACAGTAACTTTATTATTCTATTGTTTTATTTTCTAATTGACGTTTTATTATTCTATGTTTAATCATTAAAAATATATATTTTCTATTATTTTGATATAATAATATATGTAACCACAATTATACACTGTTTCGCAACAATTAAGCGATCAAAAAGAATTGGTTTAAAAAAAAACACTTTTTTAAGCATTGATATTCCGTAAAAAATTATTGTATTTTAATTTTAAAAAAATCGTTTTTAAATTTAAAACTTTTTGTTTTATTTGGTCGTCTTATTGGCAATAAAGAACACACACTTAATCTCCAGCAAATAAAAGTTTTTTTACAATAAATGTAAAGGGATATATAAGGTCAGGCAGGAAAACAGGCGATTATGAATAAACAATTATTGACTTTTGCATATTTATTGACAATTTTTCATGTAAAAAATCTTAAACACGTAGTTTGTCATTTATGTTTAGATGATGATATCGCGCAAGTGAGCTAAATTCATTAAATTTAATATTAATTTTGCAAATATTTTATTTAAAAAATAACTTATTTCAGAAAATATTTAGAAGGAAATAATGATATTTGCAAGCATTTTTTCATAAATTTGTTGAAGATACTTTAATAATAAAAATATCATTTTTGTGTCATAGGATACTATCGCGTCAATTATGATGAGGATAACTGGCAAAGTCTTCAGTATTATATGTACTTTATAAATTATACCCACATTTCTGTTTGCAATCGAGCCCAAATCGTTGATGACGCCTTTCATTTTATGATCAGAAGACAACTCAATTTCGACTTGTTTTGGGATGTTACAAGTTTCCTCTTAAGAGATACAAACTATGTAGCATGGTATCCTATGATTAAAGCTGTTGAACATATGGCGTGTATGTGGGCATTTAAAAGTGATATAAGTGTAAAGGTAAATTAGTAAATGTAATAGTAAATTTTTACAAACAAGAATAGTATATAGTATTAAAGCACTGTATACATATAAAAAAAGTTTAAATTATTATGTATATCTGTAAATTTACTTGTCATTTTTTTTTTTAAATGAGAGTAAATATGAAATTCTTATTATTTAACAATTTTTAGAACAAAATTAAATACATGTTCCATGGACTTCTGCAGAATATAGGATACAATAATATTAATAATAGTATGGACGATAACGTATTTAATAATAGCGATTTTACTAAATGTTTAAGAGAAGAAGCGATAAAATGGGCATGTGTTCTCGATGTTCCTGACTGTAGAAAAACAGTCGCCTTACAATTAGAAGAACATCTTGTAAGTTCTGCAGGAGACGAGTAAGTTGTTATTTATATAAATAGTTTTATGGCATTGTTGTCTTATGCTAAATAAATTATTTTAATATTATATTATAAAATATTGTAGTTAAATAATTATATCAAATATTTATTTTTTCTTGGTAATGCAGACGTTTGATACAAAAAGAATGGTTATACTGTAATGGTTTAATGGCAGCAAGCACCCATACTTGGCGAAAGTTGTGGGATAAATGGCATCATAATTATAATCATAATTTATCATCCGATAATAAATTATTAGAATACTTAACTTGCTCTACAGATCCTGTGAATATTGCACGGTATTTGTTAATTATAAAGGTAGATACAATTTATTCGATCGATAAAGCGTTTTTTGCTAATATTTTTCTTCTTATTGTTGCAAAACATGCAAGAAATAATGCAGTACTCGATTTTATATTCAACAATACACAATTCTTTGACTTAAGTGGAAAAAGGTGATTACGTTTTTTTTATGAATATATTTCAATATTTATGAATATTTGTTATATTTGTAAAATGTATTACTTTGCTTTGCTTTTGTAGGCATGTTGACGAAATTGCCGTATTAATTGTTATCATAACGCACGAGCATGAAGCGGAACAATTCAAAAAAGTATATTTTCTTATATGCGTATAACGTTTTCATTATTTGACTTTTTTATTGAGCTTATTTATGTTTACTTTGTGACATACATAGGTGATATATCTGACCAAATGCACTTAACGCGCGCGCGCGCGCGCGCGCGTAGCAATTTAAAATTTGTTTTTCTGTAATTAGAAAAAAATATTATATATTTATTAATATTTTTAATATCATCAAATAATCTGTTTTAGATAAGTGAATTCGTTAAAAATAATTCGAAAATAAATACCAAGCGTGTGGTTGATGTTGTTGAACAAAAAATAGAAAAACGAGAAATGGAACACGATAAAAAAGTCGTAAATTACAGGCTCATCGATAGGGTATGATAAAAAAATAGATAAATAATTAAATCTACGAAGGATTTAATTCAAACAATAGTTTCTTACATGTTACTCACATGCATTCATATATTTATCATTTTTATAATCTTTTTCTATTATTGTATTAAATATTTTTTTTGAATTTTAAAATGTTCCATTTTTGTTTTAATTATTTCTAATATTTTATTTTTCTAATATTTAACATTAATTAATATTTATATTTGTATACAAATATTAGTAATATATTTATTTATAGTCTCAAGTTAATTATAAATTTTTGTTATGTTTGTTATTCCTTTTTTTTTGGCTTTTTTTTATGCATTAAACATTTATAATATTTATTATTATTTGAACATTATAAAATCTGTCATAATAGAGCTTAATAATTTATTTTTTGACGAGTGAATCTCTTATTTTGATCGTAGTAATATATAAAAATTTATATCAATAAATTTATAATTTAATTCAAATTGATTATGTCCGAATAAATATTAAATTTGTATTTTGACATATACATAATTCTAAAAATAATTTACTTTAAAAGTAAAATTTTTTACACATTTCCTGTAACCTGTTGAATATCGTGCAAAAACGGAATAGTGCTGTGTCGATTATGTCTCTTGCTGAAAAACAACTGTTCAATGATAAAACTTTGTTTATATAATCGATATATTGATATCGAAATATATCGATAATTATCGATATATATCGATTATCGAAATGTATCGATTATTGTTAGCTCAGTTCATTCCGCTAGATGTAGCTTTTGCAGAAGCTTCTCTTTCTTTCTGTGTTGGATGCACGTTACGGTAAGATTATAGTATGAGGGGTAATTTTATCGAAGGAATCTAATTGTTTTAACAAGAATTTATTGAATTTTATGAACGAATATTTTATAATTTACATGCAATCTATAAGTTAAACATTATATTTTTGCGATATATTTAGATTTTTGTATCAAGTGTATATACGCATGATTTGTTTTTAGACATTTTAATTATAAGAAAATATCAATCTTTTCTAATTTTTAAAAACTAATTGCGGTTAGTATATTTATCAAGTTATGTTTACTTGCTGTACTTTTATATATTTGTGTTTTCTATCAGAATCGTGAGAAAAAGCATAATGTGACATAACCTCTAAACCACAGTGTTACTGTTGTGTGCGCCAACGTGAAGCAAATGTACTTACAGAATGTAGTTTACAATATGTTTGATCACATTTTTTTATGATTAAGTTTAATTTAAATCTTCATCTTTGCAGATGGCGGATGCAAAATCGGAATCGCCAGAGAAAAAGGCTGCAGCTGCACCTGCAGCTAAAGAAGGCGCAAAGGATAAGAAAAAGCCTTTACGGGGAAAACCAAGAAATTATGACTTAGGCAACGGCGTGTACAGATTCAGTCGTACACGTATGTATCATAAGAAAGCGATCTATAAATTCCTTGGCAAAAAGACTCCGAAGAAGGTAACGTTATTATATGTTTATTACTTATTTAATTATGTGCAAGCAAAAATATATTGAATTATATTGCTCAACATTATTTTTGTGTGAAGTATTAAAATTGTAACCATTTGTAATTAATATAATTATGAAAAATTGATTAAGAATTTACATTATTTTTAAATAGTTGAATACAAATCTAATTTTAATGCTATACATATTGTAGGTTAAGCCAAAAAAGCCACTGACTATTGAAAAGCAAATTGGCGGTGACAAAAATGGAGAAAAGCGTATTGTACTTTTGAAAAAGAGGCGCGCTAATTATCCTACTGCAGATCCCGTCACTGTGCATCATGCTAAGAAGTGTTTCCATGAACACAGTCGATATTTGAGGCCCTCTCTAACACCTGGAGCAATTTGCATTCTGTTGGCTGGACCTCACAAAGGAAAGAGAGTTGTCTTTTTAAAGCAACTGAAGAGCGGTCTACTTTTGGTCACGGGTATGTCAATAAAATTTAAATATATTACTAGATGAATTAGTAATAAATCATTAAATTGTTAATTAGTAAATAAATTTATAATAAATTGTAACAAATTGTTGAAAGGTTTAACTATTATTTATAATTCTTGATTATTATTATTAGGACCATTCCTGATCAATGCCTGTCCTTTGCGAAGAGTCAGTCAAAATTATGTGATTGCTACATCGACGAAGCTGGACATGTCCGGTATCCAATTGCCCAAACACATCAACGATGATTACTTTAAAAGGAAACGTGACAAGCGTGCCAAGAAAGAGGAGGGCGATATCTTTAGCAAGAAGAAAGAGGAATACAAACCGAGCGATCAGAGAAAGGCTGATCAGAAAGTAGTGGACAAATTGGTGATCGATGCTGTTAAGAAACATCAAGATAAAAAACTGCTGTTTACTTATCTGTCGGCTATGTTTGGATTACGGAGTAGCCAGTATCCACACAGAATGAAGTTCTAAGCTTGCATCTTTGTGTTTTTCAAGGAAATAAAAATAAGACCATAGATCCTGCTTTTATTATCCTTCTCGTTTTAATAGGTATATGATACTTTTAATTACAATTTAATCTTAAATCGTAAAACTTTTACATATAGAATTATATTTTTTAAAGTTTTCGAAAGATGAAAATAAGCTTACGTGGAATTTTACATACATGTAACAGATATGTTACCTTACAAATTCCGCCTTCATTTCTGCTTTGATTGATTATTGCCAATCCCTGAAATAACAAAACTAATTTCAATAAACAAGGACTTTCCACATGTTTAATGTTTGTAAAAGAGAGAAAATAAATTTCGGTTGATTTTAGCTGTGTTACAGGCCGCTGTCATCTTGTAATGATAGGACTTTCTTGCTACTCTACATTTCATACACATTCATCAAACTAAGAGAAATCCGATCTTCCACAATTCCTCATAACACGAGCTTTACACGTTTGCCTTATCATCCTAACCTTGTCATCCTATCACTGAAGTTAGTGGAATCCTTATCAGGTATGAAATGAGTTCACTCAATATTGAATTATTGTTTATTTTATAGATATAAAATATTCAAAGTAATAAGATAATTATCTCCCAGTGGCCTAATATGTTCCAGTTGTTGACTATATATTAATAAAACAGTTATTATTTAATATTTATTAATATAAAACTCACAGAAATATAAAAACTTTAATACATCAAATTTATATAAAAAGGATTAAAAGACGTGTAATATTTAATTACACAATAATTAATATAATTAATTATAAAAGATATAATTTTCTTTCTGTTAAAAAATTTTCTTTTCTCTCTATATAATACATAATAAAGATCAAGGTTTAAAATTATATTAATTGATAGTTATTAAATATTTAAAAAAGATATCAGATATGCATAAGTGTCTGGACATAATGCAGAATATATACAAAAGATTCTTTTGAAATTAAAAATTTATTTTTAAAAGTAATTAGAAATACTTCTTTTCTATATATATATATATATATATATATATAGAAAATTATTTGCTATTAGTAAACTCATTAAGGATCAATCCAACAATAAATTGTCTCACATGATAAGCCTCATATTATTTCATTTATTAATTTTTATATAATTAAATATTACGCAATTCTTAATCCTTTTCATATGCAAAATTAATTTACCATAAATTTATTTTTAATAGTATATATTTCTGAGTATCATATTTATAAATATTAAATTATAACTGTTCTGTTATAGTATATAGTTTGATATTGAGATATGTTCAGCTAGAAGACATCTTATATGTATACTGTCCAAGAAACGCTTGCATAAGTATGAAATGTAAAAAATATTTATTACGGTATGTATTTATACACATCATCCTGAAAACTAAATTAATACATTTATAATTCAACACGTTGACGAACGATTATACTATTGAAAGGATTAATTTCAATTTTATTCTTAATTTTTTTTTAATGATATATTATAAGTCAATTGTCTGATATAAATAATTCTAAGCCTATCAGAAATGATAAAAATGTCAAATCAAGCTTGTTTTGTTCGTCATTTTTCTATGAGAATATTGATTAATATCGACTCACTACTTGATTGAAATCTCGAATGATCTCAATCTAAAAAAAAAAACTACCTACGGAGATCAGTGTCCTAGCTTCAGTGTCATATAATTACGAGCTTATGTGACTCTCAAACACGTAGTGACAAAAATAGCTGGCCATCTGATCGTAGTAAAAGTTACGCAATTGTTACGCGCACACACACGCGGTATTTATTTATAAATAGTACGTGCACGTCGAATTTTTAAAACGTTATAATTCGGTGAAAAATTGACATAACGACATGCGGCAAAAAGGGATCTTCCGTGTTTCGCGTTCCGCAGACACTTATGTTGAATGCATATATTTTTATCATGACACATACATACATATATGTGTACCTTATATACAATATAAAGCGGTAAATTATAAAATATAGAAAGGCCCAATCTGTTAATTACATAATACTTCTTTATTCGTGAATAATATTTATGTTCAACTCGCTGTAATAAACCGAATTATCTCAGTAAGTAAAATGTTAGCAATGTTGACAGCAAATTTAATCAAATTTGTTATCTATCTGCTAACATTATTAATGTTTGGCTATCCGAGTATTCTTTCTATTAGAAGAATATATAGAAAGATAAGAAGAAATAATAAATCTAGCAAATTACTGGCAACATACCATGTACCGAAACAGTTAATGAGCCAAACACGTGTCGTGGAGCACAACAATCTGTTCCGGATTTCTTATTTGCAGTTTAATTTATGTGCATTCTTAAACTTTGCGAATTATGATTCTAGACGATATCACGGAAATAGAAAAGAACAAGAAGGTTTTTAATCATTTATATTTTTGAAGAGATAACACGTATTATGTAATTTGTATTCATGATCTAAAAATGTTTTAAATATTACTTATTGTTATTTTTAATAATATTATTATGTTTCTCGATGCAATCTAGTATGCAATATCTTTTTCTTTAAAATATATTGTATTCTAGAGATATTTTTTAAAATTTAAAATAGAATTTTCGTGGAATAAATAATATTTCTCGAGTCAAATAGCATTTACAATCTCAAAAGTGTTGGCTTTTACATACATATAAATGAAAAAATCATCAAAATCATATACTGTTACAAACAAATCAAGTTAAATACTGAGAAACAATATTTTTGTAGAAGTGTTTCGACCTTTTTCTATAAATCTTTGTTAAAGTTGACTAAGATTTTCTATTTTTTGCATTAAACAAAATTATAAAGAAAATGAGTTCGAGTTAATTAACATTTCTAAGGAACATTTTTAAACTTTATAAAATTTAAAATCAGAAAATTTGTTTAATAAAATTTTTATATTATATTTTACACGATCTCTATTTCCGTTTTCTACATCTGGCATTTTCCGACAAATTTACGCATTTGAAATACGCCATTGAACATTCAACGTTTTGCGGCACTGTTTTTGTCGCAAGTGAATGTCTTTTTTATAATATTGTATCAATTAAAAAAAGTACGTGACCAGAGTTTTCTCGATGTTCAGACACGCTCCATTATATTACGTTTCAACAATATATTGGCAAAAAGGATAACAAAAGTCGTCGTTTTTTGACGCAAAATCACCCTTGCTGCTCGGAACGCCCACGTAGGGTTTCGTCCTGATAAAACGTTACAACCCCCTCGGCCACGATGGAACCAATGAGATCGTCGGTTCGGTGGCGCAGAATCCGGGGTAGAATCCAGGATTCGTTCCCTGGTTACCGCAACTGAGTCCATTTAGCGGAGACCGATCCAATCGGATCTCGCCCGTTATTGATCCCGGCGGAGAAATTGTTGAAAGTTTTTTATTTGACGGAGATGTAAAGTGTTTTATGGCCGGCGTAAAACGGCCAGCCGCGTTATACGATGGCCGTGGTGAGTTATTAAAATTGCCCAGGACGCCTCGATGCATCCGCGAATTAATGGTCGCGATTCTTCGAGACGATCGCCTAAGATCGGCTAAATTACCCTTCGAGATTATCTCTGCTTGGAATTGCTTTTGCAAAAAATTCCATCTTGGAAATATCTGATCGTAGAATATTATGTTGAACCCTTTCGAAATATTTAACGATAGAATATTATATTTGATAGTCGCATTGCATATTTGATAGTCGAACTATATTTGATTGGAATTGCATGCATAAAATCTGTTTTCAAAAATTCTTGATCGCAAAAGCGCTAAGAAAGATTTTAGAAGATAGAACATCGTTCAATTTAATATTGAAAAGCGAGAATACTCGAGAAAAAAATTATTTTTTAAAGTATTATTACGATTACATAGGTATATTTGATATTATTCTGAATAAAATCGCTAATACAATTCGTTGTAACTTCTTTACGGTAGGGCAGAATAGGTATGTTTGCGTACGATGATAGCTGTCATTGTAACGAAATAGATTTCTCAGGCTAGAAAGTGTACAAAGAGTGCTTCATCTTGAGATAACAGTGTACAGAAAAATTAACGGCACTTCACTATGCAAACAAGCGTCGTGTCCCCTCCGTAAAACCAACAATGCGAAGTTTCTATTCATGTCAAAGCACAAAAAATCTGTGCAAACACTCAAAGCATAACTCAAAGCAAAAATGCACGATCTCCTTTCAACAGCTACGCAGACGCATGTTTCCGCGTCTGAATAAACACTCGACTGTCATTTTAGAATTAAATTGTTGACTCGCAATTAAAATATAATAAAAAATTTGAATGCACCTGATATAACATTCAGTAACGTTTTACATTACAAACTATTATTTTATATTTATAATTTTTAACCGTGACATCACGTTTGCGATTTGTATTCCCATGATTTCTTTTTCTATTATTTTTGCGCTACTCTCTTGAATAGATTTATATAAATTTCAAATATTAAATTTCCCGGATAAATTTAATATTTCCAGCTCCAATCTCGAAGATTCACAGGGTGCATAAAAATTCTCATTTGTACTCTCACGTACATCAAATTCACCCTCGCGTATCGCAAGCATAACGCATTCAATCGCCGATAGTGCGTGCTCTCATAAACACGCGTATTGCGCGCGCGCACCTACTATGACAAATCAAAATATATATCATCGGCGTGCTTATCCGCGAAGACGGGGGTCCGCGATTATCTTCTAATAGATTCTTTCGGATACACGCGCGTGCACGCGCGCATCCCGGTTACGCGTGATTTATATAAGCGGGGCGCACGATGATTTAGAAGCATGGCGTAGTTTGGGCGAGCGTAATTCCACGAGCGATTTGCTTGATCGAATCGCTGCGTCGCGTATATGTATCGTATATGTATCGATTCGATTGATTAAAAGCCCGATTGAGAGTCGTACACGCTCGATAGGGTTCGTTGCCCTTCACCGAACTTACTATTCTGCCACCCTAGATATTCGGCGACTGACTCCCGCCGAGAGACAAGTAATTTTATTCATATACGACGGGAATGATTTTTGTGAACGAGG